AAAAGCAATGAAGCTTGTTGATGGGCCTTCTAAAAATGCTTTAAAGATTTATTTATTTATGCATACAAGAACTGGGGTGCAGGCCAGAGGTGCGGGGGTGGAGGATTTGCCAGAGACAGATCGGGGAGCAGAACAGGCAGATGGACTGAAATGCACTGCCCAGCCACGACTGCTTCGGGTTACGGCTCAGTGGCACCGGGTCTGCTCACGCTGCAGTGTGACCCCCCAAAGCATCTGCTCATCTTCCCAAACTTAAACTCAGGGTCTACTAAGCAGACACTCCCCATTCTCCCTCCCCTCCCGCCCCCGATAACCTCGATTTTTTTCTGTCTCTAAATATGGTGACACCTGTAGCTCATATAAATGGAATTAGTATTTGTCCTTCTGCTTCTGGCTTATTTCACTTCCCATCGCGTCATCAAGGCTCTCCAAGTCGGGCGTGGGGCAGTTCCCTGCCTCTGAAGGCCGAGAAGCGCACAGTTGCACTTATAGACCATGCTTGTTGACCTTTCATCCAGCCAGGGCACTTGGCTTGCGAGAAACTCTGCTGCGGGCACGAATCTGAGTCCTGCTTTCCACTCTTTGGGGTGTACCCCAGAAGTGGGACTGCTGGATTCTGCACTCATTCTCTGTTCTAATTTTTAGAAGGTGGGGCCTCCCTGGTGGCGCAAGGGGTTAAGTCTCAGCACCATGAAGCAGTCAGCAGCCACTGCAGCACAAGTTCGATCCCCAGCCAGGGAGCTGACACACATGGCGCGGCAGACCTTTCCTGTCTCCCCGCTGCTCCCCTCAGCAGTGCATTTCAGTCCATCTGCCCATTCTGCTCCCCACTCCGTCTCTGGTGAATCCTTTACCCCCACACCTCTGGCCTGCACCCCAGTTCTTGTATGCACAAATAAATAAATCTTTAAAGCATTTTTAGAAGGCCCATCAACAAGCTTCATTGCTTTTCCTCCTCTCCGGATCCCCTGCCTCTCCCCTGACCCCCTCCCCTCAACCCCCGACCCCCTCAACACACACTTCCAATACCAGCTGAGTGGCCTCAGTGGCCAACTTTACTATGGTTCAGCAAACCCTCCTGAATTTCCTCGAAGGCCTCTGGATGGCTATTGCTATCTAAAGAAGCAAATTTCCCTTCTTTTCTTTTAAGCTACAAGGGCAGAAACCACCTGACTGAAAGGCCCGGAGCTGTTCAGAGAGCCCCTCCCACCAGCAATCACAGGCTTTTCCCAGACTCTCAGCAGAACTGTAGATTAACCCTACTTTTGTTACGAAGTGTTTGGAAACAAAATCATGTGCTGGGTTTCTCAGTCCTGAGCCTGGGGGTGACAGTTCTCCCCCACCCCCATGTGAGGTTTTACCTCACAGCTTTGAATGTAGGAACAATCATAGCCGTGCCCAGATGCACGGCAGCTCAATTCAAGTTCCTTTTATTCTCGTAGTCAGTGCCCTTTATGCAAAATGCCACCCCGGCTGGGATTTCCACTCACAGCTGTGTTTCTAAACCCTGACTGGGCTTTAAAAATACAGATATATAGAGAGAGGCCCAGGACCCTGGCTTCCAGCTGCTGAATTGCGGTGTCGGGGGCGAGGGGGCCTGGCATTTTAAAGGTCCCAGCTGGTTCTAAAGAGCAAGCAGTGCTGGGCTCCTGCTTAAAGGGCAGGGAGGCCTACGAGCCTCCTTCTCCTTAAAGACTTTTTACTGGGCGTTTAGCCTGAGGTGCAGATCTGGGCACAAGGCTCATTATAAACGTCAGCGTGGAAAGGAGAGAAGCAGCAGGTCATCCAGGAGTGGACAGACCTTGTCTGGGGGGAGACTTGACTCAAACGAGAGGTACTGAGGTTGGGGGTGACAGCCCACTCGTGTGAGGCTTCTTCCTGAGGGGCTTCAGTCCTAGGGGACTCAAGGGATTCAAAAGATTGAACTGTGTGCAGAGAGTCCGGCCCTGTTTATTTTCCCGGGACATGCCCTCTGGAGTTCCGATCACATTCTCTGAAACTACTATCCCCTCCTTCCTGGAGTGAGAAATCTCTGCTTCTGTTATGCTATGGCACATAGCACAGTTATTAAAAAGAAAGCGTTTGAGCCACTCGGATTTACGCTGAACCTCATTTTAAACAAAAGCGAGTGTCAGAGTGCTGCTCCCAGAAAGCCGTGCAGGAGCAGAGGTGTCTGGGAACCATGTCTGGCCCAGGCACTTCTTGTATGAATCAGCTCTTTAAAGGGAAGGACTCCTCTACATGTGGGCAATGTCTGTGTGGGCAAGGAAAGCTGTGAGGAATGACAGAGACCAGGTCATTAAAGTTGGTGACTTTGGGGAGAAGGCTCTGGAAAGGGGGTGAGGACACTGACCTTCAACAGGAGGTCAGTGACTGACTGCTACATCTGTGCTGGGCGCAGCGTTCGCTCCTCGTAACGTGCTGATCTTATTTTACCCACCGACCGTCATCCTCTGAAGTGTCCTTGTACCCCCACTTACAGATGAGAAACCTGGGCTCAGAGATCTCCCCAAGGCCACAGAGCCAGGACCAGCCCGACTTCACTGCCTAGGCAGAGAACCCACTGCTCTTCCGATTTTCCATCTAGATGTTTCTTTCAGTTCTGTTACAACTTGCAGTGTTACTTGGTCATGAAATTCTAAGTCAAACGCGGAAGCATCAAGGCTTTCCATACGGGTTCTCGATGCCCAAATATGCCACATTAAGTCCTTAATTCTCAGGAGGGATTTAGGAATCGACAGTCCACTCCAGGATCACTCTGGGCTCAATATCATGCCCGCTGCCTGCCTGTCACCACTTAAGGATTCAACAGAATCGCAGTCTTCTGTCTTGACCTAGACTCCTGGGGAGAGCGGGCCTCATCTGTAACTCAATCGGGCAGCGGCCATCACAGCTTGGTCCAACAGGATCATTGCATCTGCTCAGGGCAGGCGTCCACTGACTGGATGCAGACTCTCACGGTGACAGGCCTTGAGAACGCCCAGAGCCTGTCTGCCTCAGAGCATGGAGCATCTGCGGCTGGCACTGAGAAGCAGCATGCCCCTGCAGAGGAAGCATCCTGCAGAAGGGTTTCCAGTATGGCCGCTTTCTCAGGAGACCTGCAACTAAGGACTCTAGACCAGGTCTGGGCAGGTGTTTCCGATTGCTTGGGGTGTAGGAACGTGGTGTTCCATCCAATGCCAGCACTACCTGCTCCCTTGAGGAAATGCAGATGCCTTGATCTCTGGAGCTGCAATCCTGATGTTGCCAGCTAGAGAGGCAGGCAGACTCCTAGGTTTTAGCCGCAGTCCCTAACCCTAACTAACCCAAGTCAGCTCTCCGTTCATAGATTCAGTTCCCCATCCATCCTTTTATTGACCTCTTCTTCTTGCCTTCCATCCAAACATCCACTCCCTCACCCATCAGTTTAACTATCCCTAATCCTCTAAGTTGATGAAGATGATGTTTTTGAGATAAGGTGATAAAAAGACTCTGGTTTCTGGGCCCTCCCTGGTAGCACAATGAGTTAAAGTGCAGCACTGTGAAGCTATCAGCAGCTGTTTCGGCACAAGTTCAATCCCCGGCCAGGGAGTTGACCCACATGGCACAGCAGACCTCTCCTGTCTCCCCACTGCTCCCCTCAGCAGTGCATTTCAGTCCATCTGCCTATTCCACGCTCCACTCTGTCTCTGGTGAATCCTCTCATCACTCCTGCACCTCTGACCTGTACCCCAGTTCTGTATGCATAAATAATCTTTAAAGAAAAAGACTCTGGTTTCTATTTGTTCACCCTCTCTTGCTCCCTCATTTGTCCACTCTCATAGATATGTCATCTGCTCTGATGCCAGATGCCTGGTGGAGAAGCCCAGGTCGTGAGAAGTTGAGGAGGGTCACTGGCCAACACCCAGGAAGGAACTGAGGCTCCCAGTTCAACAGCCTGCAAGGAACCAAACCGAGTCTTGCTGATAACTGATTTAGCTGCAAACCCTCCTGCAGCTGAGCCTTCAGATGACACTGCAGCCCAGTCAGTCCCAGGCCTGCAGCTGTCAGAGAACCTCAGCCAGAAGCACCCAGTAAAGCTATGCCTGGACTCCTGACCCACAGCAACTGTGGGATAGTAAAATGTCCACCGATAATACACTCTGGAGACAATAGATTAAAATACAGTTTGGAACCAACAGGTTAAATTCAACCAGGAGGAGGTCCACTGAAGTTGCTACTTAAACGCTATGTCTTCTGGGAAGCGTCTCAAAATTCTCCTTTCTCCATGACCCTATTTTCTCATATTTTCCTATTAGACTGTAAGCCACTTGAACCATCAGCTCATCAGAACTAACCTGGTATGCACTTATTATTATTATTATTCCAAAACTGTACATCACTTAATCTATACAATAAGCATATGAAGCCGTCACTATTATTGTCCATATGTTATAGATAAGGAGTGTTCAATAACACCCCCAAGACTTCAGTAATTATGTGGAATTGCCAGGAAATCTACTACAAAGTTTATAGTAACAACTACCCTATATGACTAGAGGAGTCTTGTCCAAATTCACAAGTTATAAGTAGATTCAAACTCAGGTAGTTGACTACCAGACATGAATTTCTTAAACATTGTTCTCCGGAGACACTTTCTAGTTCTAGGGCAGTAATTTGAACATGCTTCACCTGGGGTAAATCTAGGTCTGGAAAGCTCCTTACCTGTAAACACTAGGCTGGCATTTTCTAGTTCTTCTTGGGGAACTTTGAAGCTGAAGGACTCATTGTAGAAAGGATCGATTGTGCCTCTTAAAAAGGATGTCTTCTTTGTTTTCACAAGCTTGAGTCCATGTACCAGCTGGATTTTCACAAAGGGGTCTGAGAATTGGACACAGCATCCCAGAATGTTGGCTATCATGAAATCCAAGTACTGTTCATTCATCTATTTCATTCCCCACCCATCCTTTTACTGACCTGTTTTTCCTTCCTCCCATCACCCGTCCATTCCCCTACCCATCAGTCTGTCTAACATTTCGCCTTCTTTTCATTACTCATTCTTCCATCTACCCACCCAAGCATCCATCCACCTATCCACTTATTCAACTTTCCATCCATCTTCCCAACTGACAGTCCGACCAGCTCCTTATTCTTCCACCTTTTTAGTTTCCTATCAGTCCCTCCATCAGTGCAGGTAGCCACCACTCCTTTCTTTTATCAATATCCCCATCCACCCACTTGTTCTCCATTCCCCCTTTTCCCAACTCAGGCACTTATCTCACATTTTCCTTCTGCTCCAGCCATCCAATAGTGAGTTCCTCTGATGTATCAGGCATTATGTTCATTTTAAAGATGACAAAACAGAGGACTCAAAGTGATCTGCTTAAGATCTGACTAGTAGAAAAGCACCAGACCTGGAGACTAACCAAGCTGTTGGTTCCAGAAAAACCACTGTCCAATCCGTGAGCTCACAGCTGAATAGAGAGGGCAGAATTCTAATTACCACTCTCAGGCCACTTTACAACTTACAGAGAGATCATCTACAACGCCTAATTTAATATTTGGTTAAACAACCCAATGAATGCTGCTATTATGTCAATTTTTTCAGATGGAAACACTGAGGCATCTAAACGTTCAGTCACTTCTATTTCGTTCGTAAATAGCAGAACTGGGATTTAGTTCCAGGAGGTTTGACTCCAGAACCCTTAAACCCTTTATCATACTGGTTCCAAAAGCAGTAAGTCTGAAACTCTCCAGTCTTAATATCATTTCCTACACTGGCCCCCTTGAAACCCATTTTTACAATGTGGTTTTTGAGAATGGAAGGTGTCTGCTAAATTTAGTTGTCACTTTATAGCAAAAGTAATTTATTTGAGCCATTGCACTTAGAGAAGACCATATTTCCAATACCAAGCAGAAGAGACCCCCAAAACCCTGCCTCTGAGCTATAATGACCTCTGCTGTCATGGGGGAACCTACATACAGAGGGAATGTAATCTGTCCCATTTGATTAAAAGTTACATTTGAGTTGGTTTACTATAAAGCAGACAGTCTGAATACAACAGACTTGTCAGAGCTGGGATTTATGAAGATGTATGAAATGAGTTGGGGAGAAAACAGGGTCTGTCCACCAAGCGTGCTCAATGCTCATCATCGCCACCTAGAGCATGATGTCTCCATTGCAGCCACAGCTTTCACAAAGGCAGGTGACTAGAGGCTCTGGATTTCAGGGATTGTAGCCCCGGCCTCAATCCTACCCCCAGCTCAAATGGGATTACTGAGATGCACGGTTTACCTGCCTCACTGAAGAGACATCTGATCAATTACTTCCCTTCTTGAATTAAATCCTAGTTCTGGGTGCTAGTACTCTCAGGGGGTCTTAGTCACAGTATCCAGGATGCAGAAAAGGAAAGCAGGTCCCTATGTCAAACAGAGATTTCTTACTGAGAAATCAGTGGGTGAAAAGAGCATTGCACCATACCTGAACCTTGGCTCACGTCTGTCTGAAGAAGTTGCTTGGCTCGAATTACATCAACATTCAGTCTCCCAGCGCTGGGGAGATAATTCAGGGACAGAAGGAGCTCCCCCAACTCCACTTCATTCTGTGGAGAAAAGAAATGGTCAGACAGTTGCTTTTTCTCTTTTATTCCTTTTGCAGCTACCAGGCAGGAAATGGAGCCCAACAGCTCATAAATGGGCTTCCGTTGTGGATCAGTTGACCGTCAGTGCTCCCTCCTTTGACTTTTTGAACCTCTGCCCCTTGTTATTTTCTTCTATTCTCAAAAGTTCTTTCTGCCTTTAGAATACTTAGCAGCAGCAGCAGCAATAATAACAACCAGAGCATCAATAATTGTGATAAAGAAATGCCGTATGTCAGCTCTCCCTGGTGGTGCAAGGGTTAAAGCACAGCACTAAGAAGCTACAGGCAGCCACTTCAGCTCAGTCCCAGCCAGAGAGGTGACCACAGGGTGCAGCAGACCTCCCCTGTCTCCCGCTGATCCCCCAGATGTGTATTTCAGTAGATCTGGCTGATCCGCTCCCCACTCTGTCTCTGGGGAATCTTCTAACCTCCCCTCCCCCCGCACCTCTGGCCTGTACCCCAGATCTTGTATGCATAAATAAATAAATCTTTAAAAAAAATGCTATATGTCTGCACTAAGCACAGAATTGGAACAACAAGTTCAACTTTACACTCAGTCTGTGAGATAACCGGTTGACCCCACTGAATAGATGAAGAAACTGAGGCTCGGGTGGGGCGAAGAAACACGTCCAAGGCCACCATGGCCAAGTGGTCACGGTGACATTTGGGCTCGGGGTCCTGAAGCTGCCTTGCCTTTCAGAACACCCTGCAGAGCAGCTACGTGGGCGGGGAATCTGTTCTCAAACCGTGGTCCAGGCGGAACCGCGCTTCTCATCTGGGTGGGAGCCTGCCCACCCCCAGAGGCCCTACAGTAAATGGAAGGAAGAGAGGACCCCAGGCCAGCTCCCCATTACCTGAAGGCCCCTCGAGTTCTCCCTGGAATGGAAAGAGCTCTTTTGAGAGGAGGAAGTGGAACTTCCACAGGGCTTCCTGATGTCATCCTCTTTCTGAGAAGGTCATTTTTTAAAAAGGTTTATTTATTTATGCGTAGAGAACTGGGGTACAGGCCAGAGGTGCATGGGGTGACAGGAACAAAGCACCAGCTGCAAAGTCAAAGAAGAAGCTACATTTTTTGTCTTTCTGCTTCCTCCTTGGGCTGCCAGGAGCCTCCCAGCCCCCAAGCATCTGACACAAAGCTTCTCCCAGGAAGGGGAGAAGTGTCCCCAAGAGAATGGATTGCTTATTCTGGAGGTGGGCTCTCTGACTCGGTGAGTCACTTTTCTGCTATCCAAATTTAGCCAGATAAGGATGGCTAAATTATTCCAGATAAGCTGGAATAATTTACTCCACTGCTCCAGGTTTATAAACGAAAACTGAACCAAGCCACTCTCTTACTCCTCTGCTTCATTCCCGCTATCACTCTCAGAATGAAGCCCAAGGCCTTCAACCAGGCTACTCCAGCATGTCAACCTTTGGGTGGGTCATTCTGTGTCATAGGGCTGTAACATCCTGCTGTCACCACCCATATTGTCTCTAGGTCAAATGTTATCCAAGGGCAAAATCACCCAGTTGAGAATCACTGGTCTACCAGGATCTAACGAATGTACCGCCTGCCTCCACCCTCATCCACCAGCCATATCTGCCTTCTGTTCTGTGCCTTGAAAACACAAGACAGGGCCCTCCCTGGTGGCTCAGCGGGTTGGAGTGCTGCACTGCGGAGCTAAGCCACGCCGTGGCCTCTTCAGTGCGGGTTTGATGCCTTCCTGGGAGCTGACCACATGGCGCGGCAGACCTCTCCTGACCCACCCACTGCTCCCCTCAGCAAGGTACTTTGTAGATCTGTCTGTCCTGCTCCCCATTCTGTCTCTGGCGAATCCTCTCGCCACCCCTGCACCTCTGGCCTGCTCCCCATTTCTGTATGCAGAAATAAATAAAATCTAAAAAAAAAAATCCTGCCACAGGGCTTTGCTTCCCATTCATACTCAAACAGCACCTTCTCAGGTAAGCTTTCCACAACCACCCGACTAAAAACTGTCCCACCTCCATCCCTTTCAGTTGTCAGTTTCATTCATGGCAGTTCTGAGGTCTCTTGTTCACAAAGGCAGGGACAGTGTCCAGTCTCCACCCCTATATGCACAGCCCCTGGAACACCGGCCATCCAGATGGCCACTAGAACAAGACACCCTGGGTGCTCATGTGGCCTGCTCACGTGGCCACCTCCCAGCCCAGGGGGTCATGCCGGATGGTGCTTGTCACCTGCCCCATCCAATCCCCAGAGAACAAAAACTGAGGGGGGGGAGTGGGGGGGGGAGCAGCGTGAGGGGGGGTCCATTTCCTCCCTCCCTCTTTTCTAGGCAAAGTCACAAATAAACAGCCTCATTTCCCTTTTTAAGAACCCGATGAGCTCAGTTTGGCTGAACCACATGGGGTGGGCTGGGGAGAACCGAAATAGACAGTTTGCAAATTACTCAAATGAATCCAGAAGCCACCCTGGGAGCCCCAGGCCGCAGGCTGGTACAAATTCCACTATGTTCTCTACCTGGACAAAAATTCTTTCTCCCTGAAGCCTTTGCACTCAGCTAAGTTCTAATCAATAAAAAGAAAATCAAAGGAAACCATTTGGGACAAAGCACTTTCTGGAGAAAACAGGAGCGTGGTGCGCCTGACACGCTTCCTTTGAAGGGCTTCTGCACGGCACCTTTGCTGGGCCTCACTTCGCCAGGCTGTCAGCTGTGTGCGCACACTTCTCACCAGCCCAAGAATACATCAGGACACTTCTCACACAGCTGCTTTCCAGCCCCTGCCATTGTCTCCTGGGCTGGGCGGAAACTTGTATCTCTTAATTTACTATACAAACAACATTAAAATAGAAATGGATTTTTTTTTCAAAACAGCAAAATCCAACCACCAGCCCAGCACTTGACACATTTCATCAGCTGCTTCCCCACGTTCCGCCAGCCCCATCGATGAGGTTCTTTTCTCGTCTCTGTCAATACCCCCAAACGATATTTGCCTAGATGCACCAATAACACCGGCGGATTCTGAAATGCCACTGTTTTATTTTATAGGCTACTTTAAATAGAAACACATATTTTCCATGTTACCATCTAGACAGCCGAAGTGTCATTTCTAATGTCTGGCTACACTATTCTGGAAGGCCAAATGCTGGGACTTCCTGTACCCACTTCCCTATTCCTAAGTACTCCAGTTATTTTTAATGACCTACAATTGGGCATGTTGCTATTTTTCTTCCTTAACGTTACATCCTTCTAATAAAAACCAGGCTAGGATCACTGGACTGAAGAATACATCAGGACATATAAAAGACCTCCAGATATATTTCTGCTGCTCAATAGAATACAAATTCCCTAGTTCTATTGACAAAAGGATGAACTCACTTCACTAGCAAGGAGGCCAGATGTCTTCCCATAGTGACACCAGCATTGGGTATTAACATTTTGACAAATATATATATTTTTGCATCTTTGATTGCCTATCTAGGCAGAGTATAGCTGAATTTCCTATTTTGTTTGGAAATGCTGGCTTTCGGGGGGCACTGTCCCTAGGACAGGGCTGAGGACAGACATTTCATGCTGAATTTTGTCTGTTCCATGCCACGGGCTTCATTGGTATTTCTTTGACTGCTAACAAGATCAAGCCTCTTTTCATCTTTATCAATTATTCCTGCTTTTTCTTTTACAAAAATGCTATTCATTTCTTTGCGCTCATTTTTCTATTAGCTATTTGTCTTTCTCTTAATTTATAGACACCTGTAAGTAGGGTGGATACATCACTCACCAGCAATGTGTCATTATGGATTCCATTGCATCCCTCCTCTCTCAATGTCTATTGTTTAAGCCCCAACTCTATGGTCTCAGAACGTGACTGATTTGAAATGGGGATGTTACTGATGTAATTGGCATCACTGAGGATGTTTCTGTCACCCACGGCCTGCAGGTGTCACGTGGCACAACAGGCTTCAAGAGCAGGTAGGCGTAATTACGCTCTGGGATGCCTGCAGGACCTGAGACTCCAAAGGACACATTTCTTAAGTGCTGACTGACTGTAGAGTCATTTCAGGGTCAGATTGGAGTAGGGTGGGCCCTGGTCCAGTAGTGCTGGCATTCGCATGGGATGAGGGGGCCTGGACACGCACCCAGGGAGAACGCCCCGTGAAGACTGGGAGTGCGAAGCAAGAGAGGTCAGGACAGGTCCTTCCCAGAATCTGCTGAGAGAACACAGCCCTGCTAGCATCTTAACCAGAACCTGAGAGCCAACGTCTATTCTTTAAGTCACGCCCTGTGTGGTACTTCTCATGACAGTCCCCAGCAAACCGAGACTCGTGGATAACAAACATATTCTCCCGGTGTGTGGCCTGTCTTTCCATTTTTATACCACATTTTCTGATGAGCAAAGTTCATCATTTTACCATGTGGGAAAAGGCCCCCATCTTTCCTCTATGGTTTGCATTTTCTGACCTTTTAAGAAATGCTTTGCTACACTAAGGCTGTAAGGATAGTCCTTCCCTCTTTTTTCCTTCTAAAATGTAAAATTTGGCCTTGCAAATATAAGCCCTTCGACCACTGGACTTGGTGTTGGTGTATGGTGTGAGGTAGGGCTCTCTTCACCCTGACTTCTCTTCCTGCCCCACAGCTCAGGGCTGCTGTCATCTTGATTTACTTCTCTCCACCTCCCCAAGTGCATGACAGGCTCCTCAGTGAATGTCAGCAAGAGAAAGGTTTGTTTCTGTCCTGCCTGTGAAGCTAAACCTTCCAGGGATAATGCAAGAAGCTGGATCTTTTGATGTCTGAGCATTTGTCTAGACCTCAATGGCCATCGAAATTAAATCAACTTACTTCAGATCCACTCAAGTGAGTAGACTGATCTGGTCCTAAACTGAGCTCCCGTGAGCATCCTGCTGCAGAGGCTTCTGTTCAGCAGCGATTGCTCCAGAACATGCAAAACCACAGGTCCATACCTAAGATGATGGCACAAGGCCTGTCTCCAGCTACCCAGGGTCTA